TTCCCAAAATAAGACTTATCTTAGCAAGTACTGGCAAGTACTACCCTCTGAGAAAATAAAAACCTAGCACTTGCCAACATAAGTCTTATTTTGGCAGATGACATATCCTCTGAAAAACGGGGGGTGGGTGGGCGGGGCCAGTACTTGCTAATATAAGACTGATTTTGGCAGATGACATATCCTCTGACACAACGGGGGACGGGTGGGCGGGGCTAGTACTTGGTAAGATAAGACTGATTGTGGCAAATCACATATCTTCTGACAAAATCGAGGGTGGGTGGGCGGGGCTAGTACTTGGTAAGATAAGACTGATTTTGGCAAATCACATATCCTATGGGAAAAGAGGGGGCGGGTGGACAGGCCTAGTATTTGTTAAGATAAAACTGATTTTTCCCCTATTAATCTTGCAAAAATTTGTGAAATTTAAAGGTGTTAAATTGCAAATTTCCATAGTAACGAGTTAAATTCCTAAATCTACCCTGTCTCAGAAAAATTATTGACCGAGTTGTTTAAAACTAAATATTCAATCAAATTTAGGAATTTAATTCGTTTTTATGGAAATATGTAACGTAACACCTTTTAAATTTAACAAGTTTTTACAAATTTAATAGGGGCAAAATCAGTCTTATCTTAGCAAGTATTAGCCCCGCCCAGCCGCCCCCTATTTTCTTAGAGTTTATGTCATTTGCCAAAATAATTCTTATCTTAGCAAGTACTAGCCCCGCCCACCCACCCTCTATTTCTTCAGAGGGTATGGCGTCTGCCAAAGTCAGTCTTATCTGAGCAAGAGCTAGCCCCGCCCACCCACCCCCCGTTTTTCAGAGTATAAGTGATTTGCCAAAATAAGATTTGTCTTAGCAAGTATTAGCAAGTAGTACCCTCTGAGAAAACAAAAGGCGAGTGTGTGGGGCTAGTACTTGCTAACATAAGACTGATTTTGGAAAATGACATACCCTCCAAGAAAACAGAGGGCGGGTGGGCGGGGCTAGTACTTGATAAGATAAGACGGTTTTTGGCAAATAACTTATGTTTCCAGAAAATAAAGGGTGGGTGGGCGGGGCTAGTGCTTGCTATATACGACTGATTTTGGCAAATTATATACCCTCCAAGAAAATAGAGGGAGGGTGGGCGGCAGAGGCGGCTCATAAGTTGAGAAGTTGAAGATGCTCCAATAGGTACCTACCTAAATGTCAAAAACATTGTATTGTCGTGCTTGCGTTTTTGGTTAACATGGAATTTTTTTGGAAAAAATGAAATTTTAGAATGTCAAAAATGTGTAATTTTTCTATCCCAGAAAATCTAATTCGTATTTGATTAATTTTAATATTAATCAAATATCAAGAATTTCGGAAAAAAATTGCCTTAATTTCTGTTTATCATTCATTTCATTTCGTTTATTACGTCTCAACGGTAAAATAATCAATACCAAATTTTCCATTATTTTTGTTAAAAATGGTCGCTGTGTCTAAATTTGCGTGATTTACATAAAGTAATTTAGAGCAAATTCCTGGCTCTGAGAATATGTTGAAAAATTAATGCGAACATTTCTAGAAAAAATACACGTTGTCACCGATTTTTTTCTATTCTTTCAAATTATCTCAATTCCCTCAATATTCCCTCAGATTTCCTCAGAATTTTTCAGATCTTTAAAAATCATTTCAGGTCCTCTCAAATTTTTCAAGATCGCTTTGGGTCCTTTCAGATCACTGCAGACTGTTCCAGATTCTTCCAGGTTTACCTAGAGTCGTCTAGATTCCTTGAGATTATTTCCGGTCCCCTCTGATTCTTTCTAACTTCTTCTTCCAGATTCTTGTGGTGTTTTCAGATTCTTTAATTTCTTTAAAGATTCTTCATTTCGGATTCCTTTGAATTCTTTCGGATTATTCCGGATGGTTTTGGATGCTGTCAGATTGTTTCACATTCTTTCGAATTTTTTCCACTTCTATTCAGATCGTTTTAGAACCTTACAGATACTTTCAGATCCCTGCAGAATCTTCTAAGTTCTTCCTGATTTTTCTAGATTCTTCGAGATCCTCTCAGGTTTTCACAAATTCTTTTCGAATCTCCCAATTTCTCTCAGATTCCTTCAAATTTCTCCAAATTCTTTTATTTTCTTTCTGATTCTCTTTTTCAGATTCTTTCCAATTTTTTCAGATTTTTTCAAAACCACCGTCAGAAATCCTCAAGATTCTTCCGAAATTTTCAGTTCTATACAGACGTTCAGACCCTTTCAGATTCCTGCAGATTTTATCAAATTCTTCCAGATTTTTCCAGTTTTTTTTTTAGATTTTTCGAGATTTAGAATATCGAAGAATCTAGCAAAATCTAAAAGAATCTAAAAAAGTCTGGAAGAATCTGCAAGAACCTGAAAGGATTTGTAAGGATTTCAAACAATCTAAACAGAAATGAAAAATTTTAAAGATTCTTGAAGGTTTCTGATGGAGTATTTAAAAGAACCTCAAAAATTCGAAGGAAACTGAAAAAATTCGAAAAAATGTGAAAAATTCGAAAGAGAAAATCAGAAAGGATCCAAATAATTTGAAAAAATCTTAATTCTCTCAGATTCTTTAAGATTTTTTCGATACTGACTCTCAGATTTCCTCAGAATTTTTCACCTTTCATATCGTTTCAGATTCTTTCAAATTTTTCCAGACTCTTTCAGATTCTTCTTGTTTTTTCTAGATTCTTCTGAATTCTTCGAAACAGCTAATATCCATCTACCACGATATGAATAACATAATTTTACACGTTTATTTTTAAAATATTAGAAAAAAAATTTTTGTTGGCCAGAAATGTATCTGTCAGAAATAGCAAAAAATAATATTGTCTTTGCTATTTCTATTGAAACACCACCTGTTAATTTTGCTTAAAATTTAGCAATTGGTAACAGCTTTTTGTTGATTGACAACGGCTTTTAGTTAGAAAATTGTCTGAATATGAACGTTGCCAAATTTACGTTCAACAAGTGGTGTTTCAATAGAAATGGCAAAGACTGTAATATGGCGCAAATTCATTGCTGAGGCATTGCCTCACCTGCCTCATAGGACAAGCCGCCCCTGGTGGGCGGGGCTAGTACCTGCTAAGATAAGACTGATTTTGCCTCTATTAAACTTGTAAAAACTTGTTAAATTAATAAAAGATGTTAAGTTGCATATTTCCATAGTAACGAGAGTTGAATTCCTAAACCTGTTTGTATATTCATTTTTTAATAAATCACTAATTAATTTTTCTGAGACGCCCTGTATAAGCACATTTAAAAAATATTAATTATATATTAAACATGAATCACAAGTATAGACTCATCATAGTTTGCACATTTTAGATGGGATTTATGGGGTAAAATTTTGAGATGACGTCATCAATTTTTTGGAAGGGATAAGGAAATATATTTTGATTGAAAAATGATCATTCTTACCATAAATTTAAAACATCTGCAAGATTTCAAAGCAATCGGTTTGGCAGATAAAAAGTTAAATTGCAAAATGTTGTTTTATAATTTTGATTTTTTCCGAAAATCTGGACGTTTTGACACCAGCTAATAATTTTGAGTAACTCCTAGATATGCTCGCTGCACTCGCATTGTGAATGTTCTATTTTTAATTAATTTAGCATTATATATCTCGCTGTCAAGGTAAATTACTCCAAAACAATCAATCTCTAAAATGGGAGCGCAGGAAATTAAAAGGAAACGTATAACAGAAGTGGAATGAAAAACTAAAAAGCAGGTGACGAAGATTAGTGAAAATAGAAAACATGATTAAAAAAGACAATGTTAGCATTTTCTCTAACAAGATATTACTTTGCCCCTTTTTGTCGAAGCAGGATTAAATTTGGCTTCGAGCAGCCGTAAAAATAACCTCTCCTATACACTTTTGAGAAATATATTGGCCCGGTTATGCTTTCCCTAAATCTTTTAGTTCATATTATAGCCCGGATATTCGAGTGAAAACTGGGGTGGATTTATTATCACAGTCCTTTAACCTTTGCTTTAAGACAGCCATAAAACACGAGATTGCCCCATAGGTACTACATAGCCAAGTGAATTCCAAAGTCGAGAATTTTTACTATCCATAAATCCACTGTTTAGCATAAATTATTACGCTTTTAGCTCATAGTTCTAAGCAATAAGGAAGATTTGACGTCGCTTCGAAACTATCGATCACTTCACAACTCGGAAATCGTGCCATTTACTCTTTTGTGTTTTGCGGAAAACGGAAAGCTTTATTTATTATTTTAATCACACTTCTGTCGTAAAAGTTCGCCGGGAATAAATATTTATATATTTTTGCAAGCTTTCATATTCGAAAGTCACTTTATGACACCCAACTTGTTAAAAGTTTTAAGCTCTTCGTAGCTTTACCGCGAGATGCGGATATTTGCTCTGGAAAATCTGTAATCTTTAATAAAGCTTTTAAAAATGAGGAAGTTTTTTAAACTCGGGAAATGACATAATCAAGCAATTTTTACATTGTGAGTAGTGTGCTTAACGCGCATGCTGGTCCCCCCCACTCCACTTTACTCAGTTTAGTGCTTAGTTTAATTAAACGGAAATAATCGATACAAATCTTCGAGAACTAAATCAATGTAGTTAAGCTTTCAAACACCGATTTTCTAAATCTTCCCCTTTCGAGTCCTAACTTAGAATCGGTCGATAAGTACCACCTTCCACACCAATTACAATTCGCTGAATCGTCCAAAAGTGTCCATTTTCTCGCGACAACTACCCCTAGCACAAAAACGCTCCCTCCATCAGCAGTCTTTTTGCATCTACCCCATATTGCGTATTCCTCCCTCGTGCATTCAGCCAATATTTAGTTAAGACGATACGAATGTAGCCGAAAAAAGGGCTCCGCTTAACTCCTGAATAACAATTAATCGAAAATAGCTGGAAATAACAGCATTTAAAAAACGACGTTATCTCTCGCACTGTCAACAGAATGCAGAGCGCATGTGTCCTTGTCCCTTATTTCTTCTCTATGCCTCTATCATCCAGTGCGCGGTTAAGCTCTATCTCGTTCGGTCGCGAAAGCTCATTCCCCTGCGAGCTTTTCCAAAGCTCACGCGAAGTTAATGACTCGACTCTGCGAGAATTTTCACCAGTTCTAATTAGGCTGAGTGGGACGACAGATTGATCGTCGAAAGTAAGTTTGTGAGTTGATTTTTTTTTTGTTTACAGTGTGATGATTGCGGTTGTGTGGTATCGAAACATGAATAAATTTCAATTGCTAATTTGTAGATGAGGGTCGAGTGATTTGTTTGAAATACGGACGATGACCCACCTGTTATTGCCAGGCGAAAACTTGTTTATTTATCGGTTGACTTTCACCCGAGTGTTTGATTTGAATTCAGTTTTTGGAAGTTGACGCGGAGTTTGTTGGTTGTGGTTTGCATGTGAAGACGATTCCGGAAATTTCAATTATGAGAGAACTTTATTTGTGATAGTTATTTGCACGGAGGCTTTGTTTTCGTCACGTAGCTACGTTTCATCAAAGTTTCGTAAGTGCTTTTCGCACCATATTGACAAGGTAGATGGGTTTTAAATTAACGATCTGACCGGGAAGTAATAGGTGATTGTGTCCCTTGTGCGTTATTAAACACCGAAATGTGACTAGAGAAGGGTAAACAGTGAAGTGCATTGAAACACTCTGATAAAACAGAGAATTTTAGCTCTGTTTATTCGCTTTGAAACTTTAGTTAAGTGCACTGGAACGTGAATTTATCAATAAAACTTAGGAAAACTACTTCAGAACTAAAAATATTCTACAATGTTTATGACGTCACTAAATTTTGAGCTGTGACGTTATGCACACATTTCTTAAACGGAAGCAGCATTATCTTCCAGCACACTTCGTTTTATTATAAAGTGTATTAAAAGAGCTTTAAAGCTGACTTAGTATTCACTCATATTAAGTACCGTCTTAAAGACTTAAAATAGTTGTATGGTGGGGGTTCTAGACCACTTTTTGGCGCGAAAGTAACCTACTTCCACTTCATGCCGATACCAATATTCCCATTTTATAACAAAAAATAGCCATTATATGATTTTCTGTTTGATGCGGGTTGGTTTCGTGTCATTTCGTTAATTGAAACGTGGGTGCTCGTAATTTGTAAACAAAACAAAATGAATCTTGAAAAATTTAATCAAATAAATTGAAGCTTTTCTCTCATTTTAATTCAAAACGTGAATTATCAGATACTTTTGGCGCTCGCGTCCAGAGTTTATTTTGTTTCAAAATTTACGGATTTAAAAATGGGCTACGGTAGAAGAAAACATACAAACACGTTATTATTGATTGGATTAATTTCGGTTTTTTGTTTATGGCATTTACGCAATTTTGTGAATTCATGCCTTGCACATATTCCTGTGCTGTCTCTCACATTATTTGATTCTGTGTATAATCCCCAACTTTGATGCTGATCTAATCAAACTGTGTACGAATGAATTGCGACAAGATAAGCTCGCTTTGAGTTCTGAATTGTAATGTCAGGAGGAAGATTGGCACGTTCTGTTTAATTAATATTTTATAATGTTAATTAGAGTACCCCGTTTTTACGCTGGTTTCAAATGAGTCTGCTTTTCAGCAATCCTGAAACAATTTTTTGCTTATTTATAATAAAATTCAAGGATGGTAAACCCCAGTGTTTTTATAAAATTTTAAATAGTGCGCTTCAAAACGCCACAAAGTGTGTCTTCAGTCCACTTCAAAAAGAAAACACCAGGGGTCTCTGAAAATTTTTTCAAATTACTTCTAAAACCAGACAAAAGATCCGAAATATATCCAGCATTTTTGACCGGAGTTTTTACTTTCCAGAATTTTGTGATGACGTCATCAACATTTTTTCAAGGACACGTATATCAACTTTGATTGGTGCAGTGTAATGCTAAACATAACCGTATTGTATTCCCAAAATTTTCTGGACAAATGGAGCCGTTCCTGATTTAATCAATAAAATAAATTGACACATTCATCAATTTTTTTGAGCCACTTGTATAAACAAATCAAAAAAATATCAATGCAATGGTACATCACAAGTAGAACTCATCATATTTTGCACATTTCGAGTATATTTAGGAATTTAACTCGTTCGTATGGAAATTTGCAATTTAACACCTTTAAATTTCACAAGTTTTTACAATATTAATAGGGGCAAAATCAGTTTTATCTTAAGAAATACTAGGCCCGCCCACCCACCCCCTATTTTCCCAGAGGTATGTCATCTGCCAAATTAACTTTTATCTTACCAATTACTAGCCCCACCCACCCACCCCCTATTTTCTCAGAGGAAATGTTATTTGCCAAAATCAGTCTTATCATAGCAATTACTAGCCCCGCCCACCCACCCCCTGTTTTCACAGATGATATGTCATTTGCCAAAGTCAGTCTTATGGTAGCAAGTACTAGCCCCACTCACTCGCCCTTTATTTTCTCAAAGAGTAGTACTTACTAATACTTGTTAATATAAGTCTTATTTTGGCAAATCACTTATCCTATGAAAAAATAGGGGCGGGTGGGCGGGGCTAGCACTTGCTCAGATAAGACTGACTTTGGCAGACGCCATACCCTCTGAAGAAATAAAGGGTGGGTGGGCGGGGCTACTACTTGCTAAGATAAGAATGATTTTGACAAATGACATAAACTGTAAGAAAATAGGGGACGGGTGGGCGGGGCTAGCACTTGCTAAGATAAGACTGATTTTGCTCCTATTAAATTTGTAAAAACTTGTTAAATTTAAAAGGTGTTAAGTTACATATTTCCATAATAACGAATTAAATTCCTAAATCTGATAATTTTTCGGAGACACCTGTATAAGCAAATTTAAAAAGTATTAATTATGTATTAAAAATAAATCACAAGTAAAAACTCATCATATTTTGCACATTCAGGGTAGATTTAGGAATTTAATCCGTTACTATGGAAATTTGCAATTGAACACTTTTAAATTTCACAAATTTTTGCTAGATTAATAGGGGAAAATCAGATTTATCTTAACAAATACTAGGCCCGCCCACCCGCCCCCTGTTTTCCCATAAGATATGGCATTTGCCAAAATCAATCTTCTCTTACCAAGTATTAGCCCCGCCCACCTGCCCCCTGTTGTCTCAGAGGATATGTCGTCTGCCAAAATCAGTCTTACCTTACCAAGTGCTGGCCCCGCCCACCCACCCCCCCTTTTTCAGAGGATATGTCATCTGCCAAGATAAGACTTATGTTGGCAAGTGCTAGTTTTTTATTTTCTCAGAGAGTAGTACTGACTTTGGCAGACGCCATTTCCTCTGAAGAAATAGAGGGTGGGCGGGTGGGGCTAGCACTTGCTCAGATAAGACTGACTTTGGCAGACGCCATATCCTGTGAAGAAATACAGGGCGGGTGGGCGGGGCTAGTACTTGCTAAGATAAGAATGATTTTGCCCCTATTAAATTTGTAAAAACTTGTTAAATTTAAAAGGTGTTAAATTATATATTTCCATAGTAACGAATTAAATTCGTAAATTTGATTGAATATTTAATTTTAAACAACTCAGTCAATAATTTTTCTGAGACATCCTGTATTAGCAAATTTAAAAAGTATTAATTATATATTAAAAATAAATCACAAGTAAAAACCCATCATATTTTGCACATTCAGGGTAGATTTAGGAACCCGGTACTATGGAAATTTGCAATTTAATATCTTAAAATTTCACAAGTTTTTACAAGATTAATAGGGGAAAATCAGTTTTATCATAACAAATACTGGGCCCGCCCACCCACCCCCTCTTTTCCCAGAGAATATATCATTTGCCAAAATCAGTCTTATCTTACCAAGTATTAGCCCCGCCCACCCACCCCCTGTTGTCTCAGAGGATATCTCGTCTGCCAAAATCAGTCTTATCTTACCAAGTGCTGGCCCCGCCCACCCAACCCCCTTTTTTTAGAAGATATGTCATCTGCCAAAATAAGACTTGTGTTGGCAAGTGCTAGTTTTTTATTTTCTCAGAGGGTAGTACTGACTTTGGCAGACGCCATACCCTCTGAAGAAATAGAGGGTGGGTGGGCGGGGCTAGTACTTGCTAAGATAAGAATGATTTTGGCAAATAACATAAACTGTAAGAAAATAGGGGGCGGGTGGGCGGGGCTAGCACTTGCTAAGATAAGACTGATTTTGCCCCTATTAAATTTGTAAAAACTTGTTAAATTTAAAAGGTGCTAAATTACATATTTTCATAATAACGAATTAAATTCCTAAATCTGATAATTTTTCGGAGACACCTGTATAAGCAAATTTAAAAAGTATTAATTATCTATTAAAAATAAATCACAAGTAAAAACTCATCATATTTTGCACATTCAGGGTAGATTTAGGAATTTAACCAATTACTATGAAAATTTTGAAATTGAACACCTTTAAATTTCACAAATTTTTACTAAATTAATAGGGGAAAAATCAGTTTTATCTTAACAAATACTAGGCCCGCTCACCGGCTCGCTATTTTCCCATAAGATATGGCATTTGCCAAAATCAATCTTCTCTTACCAAGTATTAGCCCCGCCCACCCACCCCCCGTTTTTCAGAGGATATGTCATCTGACAAAATAAGACTTATGTTGGCAAGTGCTAGCTTTTTATTTTCTCAGAGGGTAGTACTGACTTTGGCAGACGAGATATCCTCTGAGACAACAGGGGGTGGGTGGGCGGGGCTAGCACTAGCTCAGATAAGACTGACTTTGGCAGACGCCATATCCTGTGAAGAAATACAGGGCGGGTGGGCGGGGCTAGTACTTGCTAAGATAAGAATGATTTTGCCCCTATAAAATTTGTAAAAACTTGTTAAATTTAAAAGGTGTTAAATTATATATTTCCATAGTAACGAATTAAATTCCTAAATTTGATTGAATATTTAGTTTTAAACAACTCAGTCAATAATTTTTCTGAGACACTCTGTATTAGCAAATTTAAAAAGTATTAATTCTATATTAAAAATAAATCACAAGTAAAAACCCATCATATTTTGCACATTCAGAGTAGATTTAGGGACCCGGTACTATGGAAATTTGCAATTTAATATCTTAAAATTTCACAAGTTTTTACAAGATTAATAGGGGAAAATCAGTTTTATCATAACAAATACTGGGCCCGCCCACCCACCCCCTCTTTTCCCAGAGAATATA